TATAGTTTTCATTATAAAAGGCAAAAACACTAAAATTTAAAAATCAAGAGTCACTTGATAGTTCCAGTCATATTGGTATTTATATAGATCTTGCATTTATTCTAGTTGGTAACCGCTTTAATCAGTTTTGAAAATGACAGACAAAAGCTAAAAAAACACAAATTCAAACTCACAAGTCAAAAATAAACCGACAATGCCATGGCCAAAAAAGGAAAAGACCAACAGACAAACAATAGTACACAAAACACAACATAGAAAACTAATAATTGAGCAACACGACCCCCCCCCCCCCCCCCCAAAAAAAAAAAAAAAACAAAACTGGGGGTGATCTCAGGTGCTCCGGAAGGGTAAGCAGATCCTGCTCCACATGTGGAGATAATTGTTAGATTATTTTCCTTTTTTCTAGAAATTGCTTTCAAGCAATTAAAGTCATCTAACTTTCAAATTTCACATGTTTTAACTAATATTGTATGCATTGGAGAAGAAAAGGGTATGTAGTGGGTGTAAATGGGGCAGAAATCCCTTGAAAACTAAGAAATAACCAATGCATCATAAAACCACACTTTTATTGCTGTTCTTCATGTTAACAGCTGCTTGAAGGTCTTTTACCAAACTAAACAATTACACCTTACAGAAAGATCAACATTACCCCTATCATCCACTTACTTAGGTTTTTTTTATATACATGTATATAAACAATGAAAAAGCATGAAATTATAAATTGGAGAATAGTGTGTTGATGGTACAAAACATGTAGTTCATTGATTGTTTCTGTTTACTATTTTCACAACTTTTATAGACTCTAGACAATTTAGAGCTTGACATATTGCATGAACACCTGTCTATTGTTAAATACTGTATGTTGCCATCTAGGTGTCTTTTAGTTGTTTTTGTCATTGGATTGCTGTCACATTAATGTAAACCACACATCTCCTCTTATTCAAATTATAAGCAAAATAATGGCCTAATGGGAGAGTTTTTAACCTGAAAACACACTTCACTGACTACACCAACTGCAGTGTATTGATCAATTCAATAAAATAAATATACAAATAAGGAGATGTGGTATGATTACCAATGAGACAAGTATCCATCAGAATTAAAATGATGTGGCTATTAAGCAATTATAGGTCACCATAAGCCTTCAACAATGCGAAAACACATACCCTATAGTCAGCTATAAAAGGCCCTGACATGAAAAATGGGAAACAATTCAAACGAGAAAACTAACGGCCTAATTTATAACAATACAACCTACAAAAAACAAATATGGCAGACATGAACCAATGACAACCACTGAATTACAGGCTCCTGACTTGAGACAGGCAAATTCCTTTTTTAGACGGCGAAATGCCTTTGGCTCCATCATACGGTGTTTATATATCCCAACTCGTTCGGTATGCCCGTGTGTGTAGTGATGTCATAGATTTTAACGAACGTAATCAATGCATCACTGGTAAATTATTAAGTCAGGGATTTCGTTACTATAAATTACTTAAAACTTTTACTAAATTCTTTCATAGATACAAAGATTTGATTAGTAAATTTGGCTGTACCTGTAGAAAACTTATTAATAAAATGCTCCGCTGGGGCGCAGCTTGATACGACCGCAGAGGTCGAACCCTGAACAGTTGGGGCAAGTATGGACACAACATTCAAGCTTGATACAGCACTGAATTTGGATTGTAATTAAATATTTGACACAGCATAGGTTTCTCACACAGAATGAAAGTGGTCTAAGAACTTAAATCCCCCCCCCCCCCCCCCCCCAAATGTTTTGAACCCCCTTATGATTCATCACCCCCAAACTCAATCCCAGCTTTCCCTTTGTGGTATGGTACCTTGCAGTACAATTTCAGAGAGATCCATACACTTGAACACAAGTTATTGTCTGGAAACTAGAAAAATGCTTGTTTTTTGGCCCCTTTTTGGCCCCAAATTCCTAAACGTTTAGGGCAATTACCCCCAAACTCAAACCCAGCTTTCCCTTTGTGATATGGAACCTTGCAGTACAATTTCATAAAGATCCATACACTTACACACAAGTTATTGTCCTGAAACAAGAAAAATGCTTGTTTTTTTGCCCTTTTATGGCCCCTAATTACTAAAATTTTGAGGGAATTACCCCCAAAATCAATCCCAGCCTTCCCTTTGTGGTATGGTACCTTGCAGTACAATTTCAGAGAGATCCATGCACTTGAACACAAGTTATTGTCTGGAAACTAGAAAAATGCTTATTTTTGGCTCCTTTTTGGTCCCTTATTCCTAAACTTTTTGGGCAATTACCCCCAAACTAAATTCAAGCTTTCCCTTTGTGATATGGAACCTTGCAGTACAATTTCATAAAGATCCATACACTTACACACAAGTTATTGTCCTGAAACTAGAAAAATGCTTGTTTTTTTGCCCTTTTATGGCCCCAAATTACTAAAATTTTGAGGGAATTACCCCCAAAATCAATCCCAGCCTTCCCTTTGTGGTATGGTACCTTGCAGTACAATTTCAGAGAGATCCATACACTTGAACACAAGTTATTGTCTGGAAACTAGAAAAATGCTTATTTTTGGCCCCTTATTCCTAAACTTTTTGGGCAATTACCCCCAAACTCAATTCCAGCTTTCCCTTTGTGATATGGAACCTTGCAGTACAATTTCATAAAGATCCATACACTTACACACAAGTTATTGTCATGAAACTAGAAACATGCTTGTTTTTTGCCCCTTTTTGGCCCCTAATTCCTAAAATTTGGAGGCAATTACCCCCAAAATCAATCCCAGCATTCCCTTTGTGATATGGAACCTTGTGATACAATGTCAGAGAGATCCATACACTTACACACAAGTTATTGTCATGAAACTAGAAAAATGCTTGTTTTTTGCCCCTTATTCCTAAAATTTGGAGGCAATTACCCCCAAAATCAATCCCAGCATTTCCTTTGTGATATTGAACCTTGTGATACAATGTCAGAGAGATCCATACACTTACACACAAGTTATTGTCATGAAACTAGAAAAATGCTTGTTTTTTGCCCCTTTTTGGCCCCTAATTCCTAAAATTTGGAGGCAATTACCCCCAAAATCAATCCCAGCATTCCCTTTGTGATATGGAACCTTGTGGTACAATGTCAGAGAGATCCATACACTTACACACAAGTTATGTCTCGAAGTTACAAAAATGCTTATTTTTTGCCCCTAATTCCTTAACTGTTGGTACCATAACCCCCAAAATCAATCCCCACCTTCCTTTTGTGGTATTGAACCTTATGGTAAATTTTCATTGAGATCCATTCACTTAAACTAAAGTTAGAGTGCGAAAACTAATGTGTCTTTGGACGACGACGACGCCAACGTCATACCAATATACGACCACAAAAATTTTTTTGCGGTCGTATAAAAATGGTATTTCACATCCTAAATTTTATGGTAATATGGTACTTAAAACGCGGAAATCATTATGTGATCTGTGTAAACTCATCGAACCTTTAAACAAACTTATTAGTAAGGGTTATCGTACCAATGTTGTAATTAGATCTCTGAATATAGTTTACATTGGCACTAATATCGATTTTGTCATTAGCAAATTAAAACATAACTAAATTTGTATTTTCTTTTCAAATGGGATGTATAGAGACACACACACGTTCATTTTTATCTATAAAGAAGTCACTCCTAACTATCCTACTACCTGTCGATACATTTATTTTTGGCATTGCACAAGTCATGTCTTCTTTGACTGTTCATGACGTTAAAATACTAAATCCCTGGGATGTATTTTAGTTGATTTTAGTCTCTGATGCATGATTTTTTATTATTAATTGTTTTGGCTTTTAATTAGCTGTCAGTAACTGTGAGTACTCTCAAATCGTACTTTCTTTTTAATTTGACCTGTTGATACTATTTGTAATGCTTTTTTGTTATTTAATGTTAACATGGATCTTGTCTATATACCAGCTTTGATTATTTGGTATTACTACAAATTTTCACTTCTTCATACTATGAACATCAAAATTATTTAATTTTTCCTTAGATGCTGTTTTTGGACCTGTACAGGAAGTTTTATCTAGCACTAATTGTATAGTTTTATTGTTGATATTCACCCCATATGTACCAAGTGTTAGATTAGTTTTATTGATATTAAAGAAATTTCTTGGTATTCGGGATAATTCCTAAACGGAAGATTTTATACACACAGAAGAAGAAGTGTACTTAACAACAAAATTATTTTCATTTACCTGTGAATAATATGATGCAGGTTTCTTCAAAAGTGATGATTATCTAAAAATTGTTTGACATTTCACAGTGATATCATACTTTAACTTTGTTTAAACCTGTTTATTTACTTTTGACTTTATTTATCCCTTGTAATTTTTTATTAACTGTATCTGCATTCAGGTGTCACAGGTCAAATTTATTCGTTCATTGTGTGTTAATTTACGTTTTTTGATTAAGTTAAGCCTTCCAATTGATATTTTATAGTGTGTTTTTCTATGTTGTGATGTTATACTATTGTTTCAGAAAAGGGAGAAGGTTTGGTACCATTAAAACATTTAATCCCGCTGCAAATGTTTGCACCTGTCCTAAGTCAGGAATCTGATTACAGTAGTTGTCATCTGTTTATGTAGTTCATACGTGTTTCTCGTTTCTCGTTTCTCGTTTTTATATAGATTAGACCGTTGGTTTTTCCGTTTGAATGGTTTTACACTAGTTATTTTTTGGGGCCCTTTATAGCTTGCTGTTTGGTGTGAGCCAATGCTCCGTGTTGAAGGCCGTACCTTGACCTATAATGGTTTACTTTTATAAATTGTAACTTGGATGGAGAGTTGTCTCATTGGCACTCATACCACATCTTCCTATATCTAAATAAACAATATGGTGGGGTTAACTAATGTTTGTTATCAATTGATTGTAGATCCAAATAACATATGCTAAGCAGATAATCACAGATTAAAGTAAGAACTTACACTATAGAAGAGTATATATATAAATCATTTGACAACACAATTAAGACAAGATTTATATTTATGTATGTATGTATGACTGAAATACAGAAGTACATTAAAGGCCTCCTTTCAAAATTTTGTTCATTGTTCGTTCATTTTTAATGAGCAGTATATGAAACTAGATAATAAATAATAATTAAATAAAAGAGATCAGTAAGCTATTTCCACTTTCTCTCCTTTCCACAATTCTTTAAGTTCTACTTGACATCCTAAATCCCTCAGGGCAGCTTTAGCTTCATCGGTACATGATTTATGATTATTTTTTGCCATGTTAATCAAAGTCTCAGCTCCTAGTTCTAGGATTGGTTCACAATATTCTCTCGTCCTTGCCACTAAATTTCTTAAAGCCATGCATGCCTGTTTCTGAAAAAGAAAGCAGTCAATATAATAACCTTTTATTACTCATAAACAGTACCCAGTATTGAATTAAGTGCTAGCTGTAATAACATACAAATACAGCAGTATTCTCTAACATTAAAGATTAACAAGAGTGCACACGCTGAAATGTCTCGCCTTCTTTACTAATCATTGATATTATGTTGATAGTCCTAAATATAAAGCTTTATTACAACTGTCACATAAACTTTACATTAACCAAGTAAACTAAACATTGACCAATGAACCATGAAAATGAGGTCAAGGTCAGATGAACCATGCTAGGTAGGCATGTACAGCTAACAATTCTTCCATACAACAAATATAGTTGACCTATTGCTTATAGTTTAAGAAAAACAGACCAAAACACAAAAACTTAACACTGAGCAATGAACCTTGAAAATGAGGTCAAGGTCAAATAAAACCTGCGTGACTGACATATAGATCATAAAATATTTCCATACACCAAATATAGTTGAACTATTGCATATAGTATTAGAAAAAAAGACCAAAACTCAAAAACTTAACTTTGACCACTGAACCATGAAAATGAGGTCAAGGTAAGATGACACCTGCCAGCTAGACATGTACACCTTACAATCATTCCATACACCAAATATAGCTGACCTATTGCATGCAGTATTAGAAAGAAAGACCAAAACTCAAAAACTTAACTTTGACCACTGAACCATGAAAATGAGGTCAAGGTCAGATGACACCTGCCAGCTAGACATGTACACCTTACAATCATTCCATACACCAAATATAGTAGACCTATTGCATACAGTATAAGAAAAACAGACCAAAACACAAAAACTTAACTATAACCACTGAACCATGAAAATGAGGTCAAGGTCAGATGACACCTGCCAGTTGGACATGTACACCTTACAGTCCTTCCATACACCGAATATACTAGACCTATTGCTTAAAGTATCTGAGATATGGACTTGACCACGAAAACTTAACCTTGTTCACTGATCCATGAAATGAGGTCGAGGTCAAGTGAAAACTGTCTGACGGGCATGAGGACCTTGCAAGGTACGCACATACCAAATATAGTTATCCTATTACTTATAATAAGAGAGAATTTAACATTACAAAAAATCTGAACTTTTTTTTCAAGTAGTCACTGAACCATGAAAATGAGGTCAAGGACATTGGACATGTGACTGACGGAAACTTCGTAACATGAGGCATCCATATACAAAGTATGAAGCATCCAGGTCTTCCATCTTCTAAAATATAAAGCTTTTAAGAAGTTAGCTAACGCCGCCGCCGCCGCCGTAGCCGCCGCCGCCGCCGCCGGATCGCTATCCCTATGTCGAGCTTTCTGCGACAAAAGTCGCAGGCTCGACAAAAATGTTAGATAGACTGATATGTTGATACATGTACTGCATTACTGAGCTTGCACTCCTTATCATGCTGTATTATACTGAGAACGTAAAGTAAAGAATATCCTTAACTAGAGCTTAACCTTCTTAAAATTAACTGAATTCGATGTATACTCTATATTTCTTTGATAAAAATTCATTGGATTTTTGGTTGACAAATAAGTGCAGGGGAGATAACCTTTTAATGTTTTTTCTTGCAAAGACCTCAAAAATTCATATTTTGATAAAGTGAAAAAAAAGAGCTGCGCCATGAGCACATGATACGCCCGTTGCTTTTTCAAAGAATAAAGTTTCATAACTCCTCAATATCATTTCAGAAAGTTATAAAAAAAACTTAAGGGAGGTTATTTTAATAGATATAAACCAGTAACCAAAGTTTCATGAATACTGGTCAAAGCACTTTTGAGTTATTGTCAGAAAACTGGAAAATTCCCCTTTTTTAATGAATAAAACCCCATAACTCGGAAATGTAATATCTAAAATTTATAAAAATTAAAATGGAGCTCAAGTCAATTGATATAAACACCTCACCAAAGTTCCATGAAAACTGGTCAAAGCACTTTTGAGTTATTGTCTGAAAACTGGAAAATCCCCCTTTTTTAAATAATAAAACCCCATAACTCGGAAACATTACATCTAAAATTTATTAAAATCGAAAGGGAGCTCAATTCAATAGATATAAACAGTTCACCAAAGTTTCATGAAAACTGCCCAAAGCATTTTTGAGTTATTGTCAGAAAACTGGGAAATCCCCCTTTTTTAATGAATAAAACCCCATAACTCGGAAACGTAAAATCGAAAATTTATAAAAATCAAAAGGGAGCTCAAGTCAATTGATATAAACAATTTACCAAAGTTTCATGAAAACTGCTCAAAGCATTTTTGAGTTATTGTCAGAAAACTGGAAAATCCCCCTTTTTTAATGAATAAAACCCCATAAGTCGGAAACGTAAAATCTTAAATTTATAATAAAATGCTTCGCTGGGGCGCAGCTTGATACGACCGCAGAGGTCGAACCCTGAACAGTTGGGGCAAGTATGGACACAAAATTCAAGCTTGATACAGCTATGACTTTGGATTGTCATTAAATATTTGACACAGCATAGGTTTCTGACACAGGATGAATGTGGTGTAAGAACTGGAAAAAATTTAATTTACCTATTATGGTGGAATATCCATAAACTAAATTGTTTGTTAATTTCAATATATCAAAGAATATGTAGAATTCAATGTTTGATGTAATGTAATAAAGTTGAAATTTGGACCCTTTTTGTTCAATGTGGACCAATTTGGTAACATGTATAAATAATCAAAAATCTAAATACATGGGAGCCCATTTAAATACATCATAAAGGTATTAAAATAGAAAGTGACATCATAGTCATGGCTAAAAATAAACAAAATGCTTAATCAGCATCAGCAACATTTAAAGTAATATCTAAAAATAAAATTCCTTTGTAACCATAAAAGCCCATTTAAATACATCATAAAGATATTAAAATAGAAAATGACATCATAGTCATGGCTAAACATAGCAAAAAACCCTTAATCAGCATCATTTAACAGTAATATCTAAAAATGGAAATTACATCATAAAGGTATTAAAATAGAAAATGACATCATAGTCATGGCTAAAAATAAACAAAATGCTTAATCAGCATCAGCAACATTTTATAGTAATATCTAAAAATAAAATTCCTTTGTAACCATAAAAGCCCATTTAAATACATCATAACAGATATTAAAATAGAAAATGACATCATAGTCATGGCTAAACATAGCAAAAACCTTAATCAGCATCATTTAACAGTAATATCTGAAAATAAAAATTTCTTTGCAACCATAAAAGTAAAATAGAAAATGACATCATAATCATAGCTAAAAATAAACAAAAATTTTTTTATTGGCAAATTTTAAATGGAGTTTATTATACTAAAACAATAAAGCAACCATAAACATGATAAAACCCCATTTAAACACATCATAAAAGTATTAAATAATTCAACTACATCATAAGGCTATAAAAATAGAAAATGACTTCATAGTCAAGGCTAAAGGTAAACAAAAAACCTTCATCAGCAAAATTTTATATTGGCAAATTTCCAATGAAGTTTATTACACTAAAATTGTTGGCAAATTTCCAATGCATTTATTAACAATAAAGTTATTGGCAAATTTCCAATTTACATAATTTAAAAGCAGTGTAGATGAGATATTTAAATGAGTTTGAATTACCAACCTTACACTGCTTTTAAATAATGTTCTTTACTCAATTATTTGTCTATTAAAATGGAAACCCTTGTTTTTTTAACCTTTTTTCCCCTTATTCCTTAAACATTAGAGCCATAACCCCCCCCCCCCCACCCCCCCAAAGCCAATTATTACTTTCCAATGTAACCTAAATTTCCAATATACATAATTTTAAATTTCAATTCCTCATGATATATAACCGTATCATTATTATTTTCTTTCATATATAAATCTGAAACAACCATCTTTAAATGGAAAATTTTAAAGAAAAAAAAAGGAAAAAAAAAAATCCTACCTCCCACACATTTTTTCAACCCCCTTTTGATTCATCATCCCCCACCTCAATCACAACCTTCAATTTGTGGTATGGTACATTGCAATACAATTTCACAGAGATCCATACACTTGAACACAAGTTTTTGTTGCAAACTAAAAAAATCCTTATTTTTGACCAATATTTGGCCCCTTATTCATAAATGTTTGAGCAATTAACCCCAAAACTCAATTCCTACTTTCTCTTCGTGATAAAAAATAACTAACTTAAAATGTAAATTTTAAACAAAAAAAAAAGGAAAACAAAAAATTACCCCTTTTTTGACCCCCGCCCCCCTTATGATTCATCACCCCCACCCACCTTTCCCCCCAAACCAAGCTCAATAACAGCCTTGCCTTTGTGGTATGGTACCTTGTAATACAATTTTAGAGAGATCCATACACTTGAACACAAGTTATTGTCTAGAAACTAAAAAATGCTTATTTTAAACCCCTTTTTAGGCCCCTTATTACTAAACGTTTTGGGCAATTACCACAACACTCAATTCCAGCTTTCCCTTTGTGAAATGGAACCTTGTAGTAAAATTTCAGAAAGATCCATACACTTACACACAAGTTATTGTCATGAAACTAGAAAAATGCTTGTTTTTTGCCCCCTTTTGGCCCCTTATTCCTAAAATTTTGAGGCAATTAACCCCAAAATCAATCCCAGCATTGACCCTTTGTGATATGGAATCTTGTGGTACAATGTCAAAGAGATCCATATGCTAACACACAAGTTATGTCTGGAAGTTACAAAAATGCTTATTTTCGGCCCCTTTTTGGCCCCTAATTCCTTAACTGTTGGTACCATAACCCCCAAAATCAATCCCCACCTTCCTATTGTGGTATTGAACCTTATGGTAAAATTTCATAGAGATCCATTCACTTAAACTAAAGTTAGAGTGCGAAAACCATTGTGTATTCGGACGACGACGACGACGCCAACGTCATACCAATATACGACCTCAAAATTTTTTTGCGGTCGTATAAAAATCGAAAGGGAGCTCATGTCAATAGATATAAACAATTCACCAAAGTTTCATGCAAATTAGTTAAAGTGTTTTTGAGTTATTGTCCGACATGTTGACGACGGACGGACAGATGGACAACTGTATACCATAATACGTCCTGTAAACGGGAGTATAAAAATGGCTTAAATATGGTCAAAGTCCCTTAACTATGAATAAATACAATGTAAAAATTTCAAAACTGAAAAACCATTTCAAGTATTTTAATACAAGTTTCATTAAATTTGATCAAAGTATTCTCTTGCTTTTGTACGACAGGTGGACAGATGGACTGAAAACAGTGTATCATAATATGTCCCTTAAACTATTCCTGTATATAAATTGCTCAGGGATAAGGGGAAAAAGCTCAGACAACTATTGGATATTGGAATGTTGGATAGATGTACATCGATAAAACATTGATAAAACTATATGCACTGGCCACTTAGTGGTGGGGCATAAAAAGACACTACAGTTTTGATAAGATTGAGAGGTTAAATGCACTTTTTAATTTTTTTTTAATTTTAATTTCCAAAAGTGAAGATGAAATTAAAAGCTTGTACATAATCCTGAAGTTATTAATATCAAACTATAACCAAATAGATGGCCAACATGGTGTACATGGGTATCACTCATAAATGAAAATTTATTGTCTTGAAACATTCAACGATCTGTTACTGTTTACCAAGTGAGAGAAAATAAATGGGGAATGTGTCCATGGGTCACAGATGATGCCCCTGCTAGCATATACCATAATAAAGGGAAATTACTCAAGAACGGTAAAAGTGATGCCATTAAAATTTGTACTTGTATGAGTTTTGTGGTAATAAGCATTGTTTATAAGTTTCATCACATTTGGATGAAGCAAAACTTAAGTTAGAGAATGGAAACGAAAAATTCAGCAATTTTTCTATTTGTACAAGGGCATAACTTTAGAACAGTATAAGTGATGCCACCAAAATTCAAACTTGATTTGTGTTTTGTGGAAATACGCAATGTGTATAAGATTCATAACATTTGGTTGAGGCAACTTAAAGGGGCATTACCTAGGAGATACAAAAAAATTGAAACATGATTTTTTTTTGTTCAATCATTAATCAAAGTGAAATAGTGAAATAATAAATCGCTTTTAGCAGCCACTTTAGTTAAATTTTGTCAAAATAAGCTAAGAAACATCGCTTATGAATTATTCACTTACAAGTGAATAATTTGAACTTATTGAATCCGTATTCATGTGACCTTCAATTTAACCCCTTAGCTAGAGATTGGTTATGCATGTATTAGGCATGTTCAGCCATCAAAAGGAAAAGAAAGTCAACATTGAAAGTGAAACAAAGGTGAACCAATTTGTTGACTGATTCAATCCACAAACATGAAATCAAACAGACCTAGAAAAATCCAATTGCAAGTGGTCGCAATCTATTTATATTTATGTTTATATCGGGTTATGTGACCATCGGCAGTCTTCAGAGGTCATCTCAATGGTTAATTAGATGGGATCTAGACTCAAATACACAAGAAATGCTGATATATATTATCGACTCCGTGCATTTTAAATTGTTTATTTCAGACTTATTGTAGTTTTGATATAATTTTAGTAGATTATAAATCAAATATGAAAATTTGAGTCAAATCCGTGAACATGAATTTGACAGCTAATGCCCCTTTCAGTTAGAGAACAGAAACGAAAAAATTCAGCAACTTTTCCATTTGTGAAGGGGCATGACTCTGGAAAGGTAAAAGTGACGCCACTCAAATTCAAACTTGATCTGTTTTTTGTGGTAATAAGCATTGTGTATAAGGTTCATAACATTTGGTTGAGGCAAACTACAGATAGAGAATGGAAACCAATTTCGGGATGTACGAATGGACGGACAGACGGACGGACAGATGGACAACGGTAAAACTTAATGCCCCCTCCATTACAGTGGAGTATATAATTCTGAATAACATACCTGAACAGATTCTTCCTTTACATGTATTTTCATTGCCTGAAGAATGACCTGATGACCTTGACATTCTATGACCTTAGCACAATTTGCAGGATTACGCAGCACAACTCTTGTAATGGTTCCACATCCCAGGTCTGCTACTGCAGCATTTGCTTGATGTTTTGTCATGGCTGCTAAGATTAACTCAATACCACCTTTTGAAACAGCTGCAACTTTGACATCATCATTACCAGCTAAAGCTTTAACTAAGCCAAGTGCTTGTTTCACAATACCCTAACAAAATAAAAGATTCATTTTATATTCATATGATTCCTATATACATTTGCCTAAATATAGATTGGATGAATACAAAGGTAAACTTTAGAAAAAATTGTGACATTCTCTTACATGCATTTATGCCACAAATAAATTGTAACAAACAGCTTTTGGGTTCACATGCTTAATAATTATATACTTTACATGTTCAAAATGTTTTAATAAATATCAAAAACTCATTAAATATGAATACATTTTTTTTAAAATATAGTTGTTAGTTCAAGAGAGTGAAGAAAGTACCAAATCGAAAAACACTCTGATAGAGTTGACTAAATAATAAAATCCTTTAAAATGTATGCAACAGTGATACAGTACACCTACATTGTACACTAGCAGCTATTACTATTTCATGCATAATGTTAAATGTTTAGGTAAGATGATAAATATTACCTTATCTCCTAGATTATTTTGTAAAGCCTTTAAAATGAAGTCCAAACCACCCATATCCATAACAGCCTTGCAGAACTCATCTCTAACCACTACGACACTCATTGTGGAAAATAACTCCTTTAAAACATTTGTGTTACCAGAGTATTCTGAAAAACAAACATTAGGTAAAACATGAGTTCCTATTTCAATCCACCCATAATTTTATGTTTACTTACTTTTTCTAGCACACCATATCTGTATGATTACAAATGTAGATCTGATCTATGTTGCCAAAATGAGTTTTATGTGTTCATATATTGTTGTTTGTTACAAGTCACGTTATGGATTGATTGGTGTTTAACACCACTTTCAACACTATTGTGCTATTTCGTGGCAGTTAGTTTTTATTGGTAGAGGAAGCCAGAGTGCCAGGAGAAAACCATTGACCTTCAGTAGGAAAACTGACCATCCTAGTCAATTAAGATTGGAGTCGAGTCCTCCTGCCCCGTGCCGGATTCGAATTCACCTCAGTGTTGACTGGCTAGTGATACGGTAGTTTGACTACTTAGACCACTCAGCCACTGAGGCCCCCTCACTTTATGGAAGTACATTGAAAGTATTTGAAACCTTGATGCTAATTTCTTACCGACAAACAAGCACCAACAGCATGAAGTTGCTTACATTTGTACATGTACAATGTATCCTTCAGATTGTAAAACAATTTAGTCATTTTTCTCCTCATTTTGTCAAAAAGTGCTGCTGTGTTGCATATCTTCAAGTCCATTCTGATGCATGGTTTTAGGATTTTTTTATGTACATTTTGTATGTGATAAATGCAAAGATTTCCAATTGTGTATGATAAATCTAGTGGAACTCTTTGGTTAAATAAAACCAATAACTTTAATTTACAACTGCAATCCTGTATTCAAATAAAATTATGTATCTAATTGTGGTTTATTTTTATCAATAGTACCGCTTAAGTCGACGCTAGGGGCCGACTTGACCTTGTTGTAGGGTATGAATGATTCGTTCATTGTTGAAGACCCTACATCAACTGTCAAGATGAAGAACAGGAATAAAAGCCCTGTTCATTGATAATTTTCTATGTTTTCAATGTATTGTGTGCGATTTTGTTCCATGTATATTTACTCCATATCCTTTCATTTTCTATCTCTTTATACCATTAAAAAAGGGAATTTACCATACTGGTACCAAGTTTTGTAATTTTTGCTGAAAATGACTTTGTTACGGGACACAGATGATACCCCCACTTGCATATCATATAAAGTTATAAAGAGACATAACTGAAGAACGGTAAAAGTGACGCTACCCAAATTTGTACTTGATCTGAGTTTTGTGGGAATAAGTATTGTGTATAAGTTTCATAACATTTGGTTGAGGCAAACTAAAGTTAGAGAACGGAAATGAAAAATTCAGCAATTTTTCCATTTGTAAAGGGGCATAACTCTAGAACAGTAAAAGTGACACCACCAAAATTCGAACTTAATCTGTATTTTGTGGTAATAAGCATTGTGTAAAAGTTTCATAACATTTGGTTGAGGCTAAATTAAGTTAGAGAACGGAAACCAAAAATTCAGCAATTTTTCCATTTGTAAACAGGCATAACTCTAGAACAGTTAAAGTGACGCCACCTTAATTCAATTTTGATCTATGTTTTGTGATAATAAGCATTGTATATATATGACATAACTGAAGAACGGTAAAAGTGAAGCTACCCAAAATTGTACTTGATCTGAGTTTTGTGGGAATAAGCATTGTGTAAGTGGGCATTACTCTAGAACAGTAAAAGTGACACCACCAAAATTCGAACTTAATCTGTATTTTGTGGTAATAAGCATTGTGTAAAAGTTTCATAACATTTGGTAGACGCAAACTAAAGTTAGAGAGCGGAAACCAACTTTGGGACGCAGACGGCGGGGGCATAAAAAATTAAAATTTACAAGTGTATCATGAAACCATTACCTTGAGATAGTTCAAGTAACATTTTGAGACAATTTCCTTCTGTAACTATCATCTTGGCATGTTCATGGGCTTGACCAAAGGGCACTCGCACATCATCATCATATGTTAGACATCTCAATAAACCACACGCTTCTATTACAACTGCTGGTTCTTTTTTGTTTACAATTAATATATTAACTAATTCAGTAATAAGTTTCTTTTTGACATACATCTGTCTATTTGATTCATGTTTGATACAGGTATTTCTAATAAGTTTCAAATTTATAACTAAAAGGTCTTTATAATCAGATTTTGTAGTCAAGTTTTCTACCAAAAATGAACACCCAGCCTCATCCAAAACATCTGGCTGACCATTGGTCAAAGAAATCAGCCCTGAAAGTATTTCTTTCAACAATTCATTATCATTTTTATGTTTTATTGCAGCCTGGAGTAGCACTGTATATGCATCATTATTCCCTGCCATACATCTTTTTGCTAAATCTACATCACATTCTGACTTAAGTTTTCTAAGTATTTGGATTATCTCCCCTGTCTCAGAGCTGTCAACGGAAATCTTCAACTGTTTAATTGCTGCTATTACTGGATGCTCTACTTTTTCACCATCCTCACTGAAGAGACTGGCATCTTTTACGATGTTGGCCAAATTGACCCCCTGAAACAGAGAATAATGAGTTTGACATTAAATCTGCATAAAATTTCTTAATTCCTTTCCTAGCAATTGTTATTAACTCTATTTGATTTGTTAATATTCATAACTTCTGTTTTCAATACCATGAAAATATGAAATCTTTTGTTTTTAAAATTCTTTAGGAGACCTTTATGTATATAATTGTCAGTATTCACATATAAGAATTTGAAGGCAGGTTCTCGCTAAGAATTTTTCAAATAAGTCCAGGCACTCAATATTTTTAACCATAGAAAAAATTACAGCTCTAGATATTTATCAGCATTATCAGAGACTTAACTCATCATTTAAGTCTTTTGGTCTTCACAAAAGATTAACTAAATCAGATTATGACAACAATACATGCATTGACATGTATACATTAATTTTGATAATAATGATGATTCAGACTTAGTCATAGAATTTTGATGTAGCTTTGGACTCATCTGTTTAGAAAAATGGTGCCAGAGTCCACTTTAATTTTCAAGAACCTGGGATTCACGAACTTATCAAAGTGAGAAACCTGTTGGTGGTTTATTTCGTTTTCAGGACTCAAAGGAAAAGACAACACTGAATATAGTTTATTTAATGGCAGTATCTCAAACCTATTATTTTAGAGAAAATATACATTTGTGTAAACAGATGAATCAGAATGAGAAGAGATTTAGAAAATAGCAACCTAAGGATTTAAAATACAAAAGTCATCTAGAGGTCATGAACACTGTATCAATCAGCACATACTTGTGATTCAAATTGGTGCACTGCATCATCAATAGCTTCTTGTGCCTCCATTCCAAACTCTCCCATATTTTCTTTGACAACATCATCAAATGTTTCTTGATTGATTCTTTTTGCCATCTACAATGATTATTACACTGTACATGAATGTATATAAAATTTGGAATATGACCTGTATGAATCATGTTAAAATTTCTTCATCTCCATACTTCAGTCAGGGATATAACTCTATAGGGTTATTACAGAAAAATAACATACATTTGTTACTGTGGACTGAAAAATCAAAGAACTGCGATAACATATGTATGTTACATGTTTCAAAGGGACAATATACATCATTAGTTTAGTTAAAATGTATGCAAGTTCTATTGATATTACTATTGTCTTTATGTATACTTAACTATAGAAAGATATAACAGTTCATAGTTTGACAATTTTGAATAGTATACCTATGTTATTACAGAAAATATATGCCTGTAATAACTAAAGGGTGTTATCACAGCTTCTCTATATCACTCCAAAGCATTTGCTGAGACATACATCATGCTTAATTACAATGTATTTTAATTTATTGTAAGAAATAATGACCAGAGCATGTAATGAGGTTCTGCGCAAGCTTCCCAGTGATTCCCAAGTGTCTCATATAATAAGTTACATTCCTTTAATAACTAAGCCTTGTTATTACAGCTAAGTTTATCCTTTAAAAGCCTTGTCTCATTGATTTACCATGGTTAATCAAAAATGTATTAATTTAATTTAAAAATTAGTTATCAAGGCTATGCATTTAGTTTCTGCGCAAAGTCTCAAGAGTTCCCTTGAGCCCACTATAAATTAAAATATTTTTGATTTATTTTACAAATAACAAACATATGTTATTACAGATTTAGAAAATTTAAGGAATAAAGAGTAGATAACTCATGAAAGTATCTGTAATAACACACGCAAGTTATTTTCTGTAATAACCCTATAGAGTTATATCTCTGACTGTACTTTTTTAAAAAGATTTAATCAAACAGAAAGTTGAAAGTATTTTTTGATCCCATGGGGATGGGAGATGACAAAATGGCTTCTGCTTCATCATGGAATGGTATCAAAGCAAATATTTAAGACTAAATTATTTTTTTAAAACCTGTAATGACACACAGTCAATACTGGGCCAGGACCAGTTACCTTCAGAACTTTTAGTTTTTCTTTACATCTTCTTAACCATGTTTAATGTTAATTACAACTAAAAGTAAGATACAAGTGATATTTTTTTTTGCATTGTTATATCATAGGACCACTTAAATTACTACCACTTTTGAATTAAATCGCAAAATTTAAAGATAGATTTTCTATAAAATCTGTACATTAATGTCACATTTTGATATTGTGTACCAAGTACAAAATGAAGTAAGGATGAAGTGTGTCAAATGAACCAAACAGATTGTCGTTCAATACATAAAGGAACTTCTATATATAAGAACTATTTGTATGAATTTATCAAGTTACGCTGCCATGAACAGCTACATTAGAAATATAGTTCAATTTTGAAGTTCATTACCCTTTTTTCATTTTTTCAAAGGAATTTGAATACACGGTACCACCTAAATTATCCCTATTTTTCCACCAATACTGGAAATGTTGAAGTCAAAAGAGAAAATGTCTGACGCCACAGAAGAAAAGTGATTGTTGTATGAGTCAGTATGACATCAATAGTTCAAGTGTCGCAATTCCCCAAACACTGAAACAGCAAGCTTAGATTTAGATATTATTTTGACTAAAAACAGTCAAATTTACTAAAATCGAGAATACCATATGTCCCTGCACAAATATTTTCCCATCCAAGGTTTTAAAAAAAGAAAACACATCATTTCCTTGTTTTAATGGGATTAAACAAAAGTTTTAAAAAATGAAATAATTCGTCTGAAGTTACATCAGAACCATTTTTACCCAATAAATTCCTGTATATATAATTATAGATAAAATGTCAAGCAATGGTAAACAATTCACCACAGGTCAATAATGATTAGATCTACCAAATGCCATTTCATTTTTAGGTTTATCAATGTTCTAGAAAATTCTACCAAGCTAGATTACTGCGGCGATATTTCAGTTAAAAAGATTATATATAAACACAGTATCAGACTGTTTTCTGTACAATAAGTCCACATAATTATGACTTCATTTACGTTTTTTTTTCTTGAAGTCTTCTTATGACACAGGAATGCATCCAAGCAAAATTTATAATAACCGTAAATTATGTTACCTTCCAACAGGCTAATAGTAAGACGTCAATGATTCTTATGAAAATATATTACCTTGTTAAACAGGAATTAATTGATTTTATTGTTGCGTTAAAATCAGTATTTCCTCAGCTTATATGTATGAAAAGGTCTTTTTAAAAGATATTTACTTATTCGATCATGAGAAGCAGTGATTCATATTTATAAAAGAGTTTCACATGTTTATTCGTGTTTACGTTGACCTAGCAACAGCTTGTAGGAAAAGCTTACGCGACAGATAAACGACTACATTTTGGAATTTTGCATTTGAATTTTATTTTCGTATTTCTTCTTTAAAATATTATTTATTAATATTCTTACAATTCTGAACTTTCTATCTACATTTAACATGTGTGTGTAGTAGTCTACAAAAAAAAAATCCAAACAATGCGCAAGGATATGATAATACAATACAAAAACAATAACGGATTACAAATCCGGAAATGAAAAAAAGATGTTTTCTTAAAGGGGCACTCAAATTTCATGTGCACCGATTTGACTCAAATTCTCATATTTGATTTATAGCATACCTCATTTGCGGCGTTTTGCATTTGCGCCAATCTGCACTTCATTTGCGCCAGTAAAATAGTACATTTTTTTTAATAAAACAGTAATGAGTAATAGTTTGACGAATGTATTTATTAACTATCGATAGCACATGGGTTTGTTGTTATATTGGGAACATGTGTTCATGTTTACAATAATATTTAAAGTATTAAGTTAAGAGTTTAAAGTTTCTTTGTATGATAGCACGGACTGGTCATTCGCGGTATAAGTTTACATTGAAAATACATTTAAATTTTTCATAGTTTGACCATTCGAAGCTCAGTCTTATTGCAGCATCTTTTGTATTAATTTATAATTATTGTAATTGCATTACGTTTTTTCTGCAGATCTTAAAAGAACATTATGTAAATATTGTTTTGTGATATGAAAGATTCTGATTTCATTATTTTTCATTGTAGCCTATGTTTGTGAGACATGTATGCTGCAGCGGTCTTAGTGTGCTGGCAAAGTGATTGAGGACAGTTGTATTATTAGAAAATAAAAACTTTGCTGCACTCGATCGTCTAGGCGAGCTGTTTCCCATCGATATGTGTTTGAGTTTTTGTTCATAAATACTTTATTTGCGTTTTTGGCCACGAATAAGAAAATAATAAAAGCACATTTGCATATCATTTACAAGTCTGTCCTAGCTGAGTATTTGTATGCAAAACTTCTGATGAACTGCGCCGGGACGGACAGACAACGGTTTAACATCACTGGTGTTAAACTGATCGTGGTAACTGCAGTTAGTTACCACGATCCCAATATGAGTTAAAATCGTTTTCTGCTAATTTCTCCGTGTGTATACGTGTTGTTTTCAAGAATTACTCAGCCGCATGGTTGATCTGTACGGTTCTGTTGTGTGTGTGTGTGTTATAAATATCTTATACATATAATATGGCCTCGTTAACGAAATAATAGCCATCGAGCCATCGAAAATTTAAGGAAATTAATCGTAATTCCAAAAAAAGATAATCGTAACTTGTGGACAAATAACTTGAAAGAAAATCGTAACTGAAGAATATTTCAATGACAATAGTAACTGATTTTGATAAAAAAAAAGATTGCGTCATAATAACAACGAACGCGGCGATAGTGCTACATCATTTTTTTTGTTCACCACTATATATACGTCAATGGACGACTAAAATATGGTATGAAATTATTATGCACACAACTTTTCCAATCTTTTCAACGCAGATTTGATCACTTTATTAGCCTGATTGTTTTCAAATAATTGCATAGAAATGAATCAGAAAATTATAGTTGTTTAACTTTCAAAACAAAAATAAGAAGATGTGTTATGATTGCCAATGGGACAACTATCCACCAGAGACCAAAATATGTAGATGTAAGCAACTACGGGTCATTGTGCGGCCTTCAAAAATGTGCAAAACTCATAGAGAAAGCTAACGACAACCACTAAATTACAGGCTACAAACAGGATGTAACAGGGTTAACATGGTTGTGAGCGCTCTCATCCTTCTTTTTATGAAGAAGCATCTCTTTTATTCCAAGATTTCTTAATTTTTTTGTATGCTATATTCTATCTTTTGATTAACCTTCTAATATCTACCCCCTTTCCCAACATCACAAGGGTGACTAGGGAGTAGAGAAATATGGGCACCCGGCTTGGTCTTCTTCTGACCAGCACTGAGAAAAATCCTCCTTGCCAACTGGGCGTCGGTGTATAAATACGCAGCCACGTCCGATCAGAGACGTTAAATCCGATGCCTCATGTAGAGAGTATATGCCACGCTCTCTGCAAGTTAAGAACCCTTACAACAACTCTTTGTGGGGTCCAAAGGTGACCGTGGCCTTTTGCAAGGAAAAAAAGTCCCTTCCCAACTTATCCTCATTTTCCAGTGGCAGTCCAAATTTCCCAACCTTCATCCCGGACGGCCCCTTTTACAGGACATATGTATTGTTAATTTGTTCTTGTCCTGAACATGCATGAAATAATTGCCACTGGACTTTTAAAACGCAACCAACAATCAACCAATCAATCTTATATCTGCTGTCATAAACGTCATTCATTTTATCACGATCAGCATTAATAGTCGAAAGCGCATCTGGAGTAGAACAATTGGTTCCGTCAATGTTCTAACTACCGCTGGGCGATACCTTTGTTAGTGGACTATCAGTCCCCGGGTATATCACTTGCACAGTAGCCGCTACTTAGGTACTAGCATTAAAATACGGATATTTTGTTCATTACTTATATAAAAGTTGAGAAATATACAATAATTATTCCTTGTAGGCAATCATACAACATCCTCTTTTTTATATGCAAACGTTTCAAAGTCAATATACCAGGACTGGGGGGTCAGAGAAATAATCTCCCTGGAAATGAGTGATGCCAATACCTTCCTACTTATCATTGATTAACCAGTAGTGGTTCCCTTTAAAGTGACCTAGTCACATCCTAGCTCAAAACTCCGGTGGCCGTGACCTAGCTCCTACGGCACCCATTAGTAGTTAAATATTTGATTTCAACAAATTAATTTATGACCTACATGTTCATGTCGCTTAGAACACGGCCATGTACCAAGTAAATGGTCAATATTAATCATCCGTATAATTTTCTTTATGGGATTTTTGCAAAATTTCAACGGAGGAAATTTCTTGGCATGAAACTTTAACAAATTGTTGACACCGCCGCCGATGCCGCGGAAACAGCACGTCGAAGTCTCTCTTTTTTACTCTGTTCAGGTGAGACACACAAAAAAAAAACAGTCGCCCATGACCTTTTTGAATGCGACAGTATCAACTTTTAAATGTGAAATTTGAGTTATGTACTGCAGAATTTTTAATGTTGGAATTACAAAATATGTGATCAGCCGACTCTTGGTGAGTTAATGAATGCCATGCAAGTTGCGCATTAAAAATCTTATATTCCAGAGAAACTTTTCTGCTTAAGATTAAACAAATTATTTCACTCTATGTAAATATTCATTGCTAAATGATAATTCGATTGGTTGAAGCGATCTAACGTGATATTGAACTAAACATCATATTAGTCCCCCTGGAACTTCAGCTTCCCTCAGAATATCGTCTATCGCGCGACGTAACGGTTACAGTAAACCCATTGTCAATATCGTGTTCAACTTTATTGCAGTGTTTAAATCAAGATAAAAAAAAGAATTGTAATAAAAGTTCATTATTGATATACCATTAATGCCATGTAATTATAAAATCGATGGGATATCGGAAATTGCATGTACCTAAAAATTTCATTTTCTGAAATTCAGTAAACCGAATAATCCAGTTGTTATATTCCGATCACAACGATCACCCCATAAACGGTAGTGGATAGTGGGTGCTGAATTATTCGAGTTAGGAATTCAGTTACTTTCGCAATTTGATGATCTCGAAGACGAACTTCCGCTAGCAAAAATCTCACGAGACCTACATTTGCGCGAATTTGAATATGACAAGAATTTCGTTTGAACGAAGAAATGGTAATTACGTTTGTGCGAATGAACCTGTAGTTTACCTGAATTTTTAACCTATTCAATCCTGAGAACAACCTGAATTTTACTCTTTTGTTTTTAGGAAAAAGTCAAAGATTTTTTTCCCCGCGCAAACGTAGTGGCTTTTGAACAGATAAATTTCGTGCAAACGTAATGCGATTTGTAGCGCAAACGAAGATTTTTTTCTCGGGCAAACGTAGGAAGAATTCGCGCTAAAGTAACGCGCTGAAGTAAATGTGAGACGCTTTTGTAAATATTTGGCAATTCGAAACATATGTTTTACCTCAAATATTGTTTTCCTTTATCAATATGTATTTCTTTTTACTATTAAAATAAACTATTGACACGGAGATATGTCTCGCCTGGCGGCATAAAATTCAGAATAAAGATCTGCACCATGAGCGCATGATACACCCGTCGCTTTTTCAAAGAATAAAGTTCCATAACTACTCAATGTCATATTAGAAATTTATAAAAAAAAAAACTGAAGAGGTTATTTTCATAGATATAAAACAGTCACCAAAGTTTAATGAAAACTGTTCATTGCACTTTTGAGTTATTGTCCGCAAACTGGAAAAGCCCCCCTTTTTTATGAATAAAATCCCATAACTCGGAAACGTAAACCCTAAAATTTATAAAAGTCGAAAGGGTGCTTAGTCAATAGATATAAACAATTCACCAAAGTTTCACAAAAACCGCTCAAAACATTTTTAGTTATTGTCCGAAAACTGGAAAATCACCCCTTTTTTAATGAATAAAACCCATAACTCGGAAACGTCAAATCTAAAATTTATAAAAATCAAAAGGGAGCTCACGTCAATAGATATAAACAATTCACCAAAGTTTCATGCAAATTGGTTAAAGCGTTTTTGAGTTAGTACACGACAAGTTGACGACGGACGGACGGACGGACGGACAACGGTATACCATAATATGTCCCGTAAACGGGCGTAAAAAAAAGACAGTCTGAAGGACAGCAACATTACTAATTAATTCAAAGTCGCTGGACCAACTAGGAGGTAGGGCCTCGAAAAACTTGACAAACTGAGATATACAGACAGTGATGCAACTTAATAGAAAATATCATTGATTCATTGCTAGTAGTTCATATCAAACTAACTAAAGCAGAAAACGTATCATTGAAAATTGCTAATTAATTGAAAGTCACTGAACCATGGCCTAGGGGGCAGGGCCTCAAAATAGTCGTC